TAATTTTACGAATTTTTCCCATTTTCTATTCTTTACTCTTTCTATTCTTTTACTGCAAAATTGTCCGAATAAAATCGAATTCATTTTCGCAATTTTCGATTCCGTCCTCCCATTATATAAATATCAGTGAATCGAAACAGATCTTTTCGTTTTCGAAACAATTTACTCGAACAGTTTGGTGGCGAACGACGGATTCGCTTCCTTTCGCTTCGTGCACGGGGTGTATACGCCTATGGTGGACCACGCTCCTAAAATCGATTCAGAGAGACACAGACAGGGCATAGACCTCCGTGCGTAGAGTCGAATCGACGTAACTTTCCGAAATACCGTGCATTTCCGCATCGAAGGGATCAACGATCCCGTTCTTTTCTTGTTTTCGTATCGTCCTTTTTTCCATTTTCAACGATAATTTAATAACGTTCATTCGATCACAAACGCGATATCAAACTTTTACAATTACAACATTTAACAACGATTTAACGACGGATACGATAAAATTAAATTTAAAAGACGTCCATTTGACAGGCTGTTTACTTTTCATTATTTTATAGATTTTCTCTTCCCGCAGATTTCAAACTCGGATAAAGGAAACTCTATAAAAACGATATATCCAAGTACTACCGGGGAAGGAATACACGTTAAAGTCTGTTTCCTTTCCTGTTGAAATGTTGCTGATTCCCAGCCTTGATTGGCGAATCATCGTTCTGCGTCATTGACAAATAAATTATATTTCAATACTATACGTTTTCAAATCGAGTAGAAAAGAAAGTTTCTACGATAAATTATACATATTTGTGATGTATTTCTATTAGAATGTTACATAAATTGAGATACCACTTTTTCTCGCTGAAAAGTAAGTTAAAACGTTTCTGCATATCTAATCATTTCCGTTGGAGCAAAATTTACGAGTATAAGTTCCCCTGTGTTGCTATGTTGTGTAACCATTTACGAATTATAAAAATACGGATGAAAAAAAGGGAGTGATATAATACGTGGCTTGAATAAATTTTTTTTTTTTTTTTTTTGAAAAGATCAATAAGAAAATTCGTACACCGTTCATTTATAAAACGTTGTGAAAGTTGAAAGCGTAAAAATTGCTCAAACTCAAATTGAATATTTTTTAAACATCGTCATCTCTCAAGAATAAATATTACTTTTCATTTAGAAAATGATTTATCGATAGAATTACCGAGCGTACCTGGTTGGAAAAGTTTCATTTTTATTCTTCGAAAATTGTTCACGATTTCGTCGATTCTAGGTCGAAATTCTAGGTCTTATTCATTCTTCGCAATAGTCATATTATTTTTATTATTCCTCGTCGTTTATATCCACGTGTTTTTCTTCTGTTCGTTATATGTCCTAAAATGAAAAAAAGAAAGAAAGAAAGAGAAAGAGAGAGAGAGAGAGAGAGAAAGAGAGAAAATGGACGAAACACGATCGGTTGGAACACGTTCTTATTTCCACTCGATTACCCTCGGGCAACTTCGCTGTTGTAGTTCACTCCCGTAGTAAATAATGCACAGCGACACCTGGTACACCCTCTATATCACGCTACGTATGCACGGAAGCATGGTGTGCACACGTAGCCGCGTAATATATGCATGTATGCAGAACGATGGTGTGCGCATTAGCAAAATACTGCTCGATGTTCCACGTCGCTCCATCATACATCCCTATATGGGAATCGTGCACTCGCCGGTATATTTTATCAGTCGTGGACCCGTTTCATAGAGCGCCGCGTCGCGACGGGGAAAGGATCTCGCCACGGATGGCTTCGAAACTGCTGGCTGCGATTCACGCTCACGATTCTATTCACCAGTCTTCTCGCCTCGAAAGGGAAAAGAAACTTTGGAAAAATCGAATTTCCACTGCAATCGTATCTATCGTTGATTCATTCCATTCGTTCAACCGTATTGTTTTGTCATCGCAAAAGGAGATACCGATTTCCTATATCTTGTCTTGGAACTTGCGATTATTGCAATAACATCGCGAGTTAAGTTATAAAGTATCGCACCAATTTCATTTTCTTCAATTTTTTCCACGCAACGAAATCACGAAATTACGACGAAACGTATTATATTTGCTCGAAACGAATTATTGACGATTTATCGATAGTTTCTAAGGGAACAAGGTTGGAAGTTGGTTGGCGCGGAAATAGTCCTCCTTATTCTTGAAATTCCATCGTTGCTAATTTGATCGTAGTGGAGAGGATGAGGCCGGATGCGGTTATCATCTGCCGCTATTTCGACCGGGGACACGCGCCGTGGAGTTAGATTATAACCGCGTTTCCGGAAACGTTCGATTGGCCGTGTGGTATCGGAGCAATTCGTGCAATAACGACCACCGCCGCGTCGCGCCGCGTCGCCAACAGATAATATTGCTCGCGATAACGTTCCTCGCTACGTTCTACGCTTTCGTTCCATTGTTGGTTCGCGTTACGTATACAATTTATCGTAACGCGGCTTTTTCAACCATTCGAGCTTCGCTTCCAGATTTTTCCAGATTCTGGAATTCAATTCGTGGAATTTAAAAGTTTATTTCAGTGTAAGATTAAATTGGAGATCAAAAGTGTTATGAGTAAATTTTTACATTCGGATTCATTTTACATCCGTAATATGAAGAATAATTATCGTGATCGAGTCTTTATTTTCGTAAATTTGTCGTGGACGTGTGTCGCTTAAATTTTTAAGCTTCGACTTGAAACTTGAGGATGCAATTTAACAACGGCTTTCCAGATTTTTCCTCGTGTTTTGAACGTAATAAATAAGTAACTTTTTTTTTTTAAAATTACAATTTTTCAGAGTTGTTTGGGAAAACTTATATACACAAAGAGGAAATATTTTTCCTCGATATTAAATATATTCTGCCTTTTGCTGGATACATCGATAACTCGTGACCTCGGTCATCAGTTAAAACATACCTAAGTGGTTATTCAGCGATCTTCTTTTTGAACCGAATCAAACTACACGGTCATCGGTTGAAATAACATCTGATATCATCGAGCATAAACAATTTTTCAATAAACTTCAACTTTGCACGTCAACTATCGGAATCGTCTTTTATTTATGGACATGGTATTCTTACACATCAATCAATCTCATCAAAATCATCGTTTGAAGATCATTTTCAAAAAATTCCAAAAAAAAACAAAAGCTCCTCGTTGTATCTCGTTACTCGTCACGTTCACTTTTCGTCGCGTTTTTTCGAAAAAAAAAAAAAAAAAAAAATTAAAAACAAGAAAAAAGAACGCAACGTCAACGTGACGTAAAACATGGTCATGATCGAATCGAAGAAAACGATACAATAGCGAGCGACCACGTTCCGCCATCGTGGAACAATCGTTGCGCAACAATCGTTCGCCCCGAGACGTACAATGTATACGACGTGGTCGTCCAATGTAAACTCGATTGTAAAACAAACTATCATTTCCCCTCGTACGCTTCTCCAATACGTACGTCCGCGCTCTTTAAGTTTATGCCGTATTTGCGCCGTGATATCTTGACCAAGTTGTTCGTACGTGAGCACGCGTGTCTAAGGTTGGTGGAAGCCTTTATAGAACCAGACGAGTCGATTGAATTACAGTAACAGAGTTATCCCGTCGCTTGCCGCGACGCAGTCTAAGGGCTAAACACTGCGTCTCAACGGGATATAATAATTGATTTTCGGCTTACATATTTTGGGGTGATCGAAAGGGACGAGGTATCGCGAACGAAACGAGGCGAACGAAAGTTTCTTTTCTTCGATTCTCTCCGCTCAATATTTCCTTTTATTGTGAAAGATTGAGAGAAATCTACGATTACGATATCCAAGTATTTGCAAATATGAATAATTAATTAATACATAAATTAATGGTTAATTAAATAGTTGATTAATATAATTAACAAATTAATTAATTAATAAGATATAGTAATAATTACTATCGAAAAATGTAATATCGCATAGGCGAAGAAATGATTGATGGGTTATGGCGGATATTGGACGATTTCGAACGCTCGAGTATCGTTGCTGGTTAATACTGGTTAATTCGGATCGTGTTGAACAAAAGGTTTAGCCATTTTGACGATAGTCGTTTGCATTAAGTGGCTTTATCCGACGCGCGTATCCCCAATCTACATTTGACTTTGTAATTTCATTTATGTCGAATCGCGTATTCCGCCCGCAAACATTTGCGGCCAACGTTTCCTATCTCCGAGCAAACTTTCATTCGATCGTAACCGAGATCTCTCTTCGAAATTTTAAATCTCCTCCTTGTTTTTTTTTTTTTTTCTTTTTTTCCATCGAGCTTGACCATCCTTCCTTCAGTTACTATAGAAAATATATTTCGTCTGAATTGTCGACGGAACAATTGTATATCTTTGCGAATATTAAATTCGATAATTATATCGAATCATTTTGATGGTAATTATCGGAAATTAAAATGATATTTAAATGGATAATAATAGAAAAAGGAAAAAGGAAAAGGAGAAGATAAAAGAAGAAGGCACAAAGAGAGGACAGAAAACGATCGTGTAATAGGTTATTTATACGAGGATTGGAAAGAATTGAGTCGAACGAAGAATCGGATAACAGAGACCTTGAGATTTACTTACGCGTCGCTAGTTGGACTGTTAGACTCGTATGCATAGCACGCGAAGAAGCAGATCGAAGAAAATTTCAAACGAAAGAGTTGAGAAAAAAAACATAATGTTAATTAGCGGATACGTTTCCGGTTATTTTCATTTGATTTAATCTCCCTTTGTTGTTGCGCGTCTTAATTGTTTGGAAAAAAAAAAAAAAATAAAATAAAATAAAATAAAAGAATTGTTCGGGAACGAGATGTGTCATTGATTCCAATCGTTCGAATTGTTTCTATGTATTTTAGATTCTTTGTAACGGATTAATAGATTATTTAGATGCTTTGTAAATATGTAACACGAGTGAACGATATCAGTTAAATTAATAATTTAATTTTCAAGTAAATAAATAAATAAATGTATAAAAGATACGAATAAAAATGTTAATTTGTTTGCACGCTTTTCGTTTTATTGATATTTCTACTAACTAATTTAAATACGTAATACAATTTCGATCTTGCGATTGAATCATCGAAATAAACGAATTAGTTCGAATTATTATACTTAATTTTCATTTAATTTTTGTAGTTCAGAATCAAGAAATTCCATGTGTTCTATAATACAATCGGTATATTTTCGGGCAACTGTGCATTCGTCGTCGTCAGCGGCTAAACGGGAAAGAAGGTGTAAAAGATGTTATACGTGCGTTATATAATTAAGAACGTAATTTTGATCAGATTGACTTATACCTTCCTTAACACAGTGCTCGATAATTTCGTGTACATCCTCTGTAAAATTATTCGGTGTTAATTTTCGAATGCCAGCCTCGAGTTTCTCTGCGTTCAAAATATTACCGTCCATCTGAAACGGACATAAGATTTCTTTCTCTCAGCAGAAGAAGATGATTTAAGACGATTTGTCAATATTTCAGAATCGCTTTGAATCAAAATTCGTGATCTTTTTATGTTCTATTTCTGTTCGAGAATCGTGTATATCAATTTTGTTTCAAGATTTTTCACACTTGTTAGATAAATTTATTCGAACGAAGATATGTATATTCTGTATAATAAAGTATACTACGTACTCAAAAATAAGAAAAAGGATTAAGAAGAACGAGACATACCAAATTAACGTTTTGGAATAAACAGGCTTCGAAACATCCAAGCTTCTTCATTTGTTCCTCGCTCTTGTCTTCGTATTTGCTTTTCAGATCGGCTAATTAATTAAATTCGGGGTATTTTAATTATAGATTAATTTTAATTATTAACAATCGAACAGTTTATTTCATTTTCTTTTTCCATGAAAAGATTTACATACGTGTTTGAATTGCATTTTTCTAGTTTTAAACTAAAGAAGAGTGTGTTTGATCACGTATAAGATTATAAGCAAATAAACTAATTTTTACTTACAAAGATTGAAGCCTGCTTTTTGCGAACATAGAGTTGCTATCATGTCTGCGCGAACCAGCTACAGTGGAATTAAAATAAATGAAAGAAAATTAATATTTCGAGTATTAATATTAATAATTCAAAAAAAAAAGAAACAAGAAATATCCTTTTCTCTATTATCTATTCGGTAATTAGACAAATTTTAATAAGTTATTTTTAAAGTCGATTTTCTTGGAAAAAAAAAATTTGAAAAATTTTATTTCCAATTTTCTTAAATAAAATTTAGCATATACTTGGTTGGACATTTGATATTTGAAAAGTCATGAGCCACTGAATCGTTGATTCGGAGCAAAAACTAACCGCACAATATATTATAAAGAGAAGAAAATAGATGATTTTCATATTTGCGTTTTTTCTTTTTTCTTTCAAATATTATCCCAAGTGTTGAGTTAAACGTAAAAGGAAGTTGGCATAGGCGAGCAACTTCTTCGACTAACTAGACAACGTTTCGATCTACTATTTATACTCTATTAAGTGTATAAGGTGTAGAAAATTGATGTCTCAGATAATGGATTTACGTAATTTTATTCTCTGGGAAATATGGTTTATTAAAACATCATCGAGGTATCATCGTATCGTCGGATAATAATGGACGCAAGCTCGAAATAATTATTATAGAAAGGACATCATCGTTGGCAGAATTTTTATGTATGATAAGATCGTAGGAAAACAAAAAAAAAATAATGACAAAATCGATTCATCATTTAGATATTCGTTACTTTATTAAAAGTTTTTATACAATTAATTTATGTTGTAGTAGTTAAATCAAGGAGAGTCGTTGCTGCGCTCTTCTTCGCTCGTTGAGTTTGAGTTAAACGAGTACATAAATTGCTTGATATAGAATTTCACGTAATCGACAAGACATTTGGTAAATTTTTGAGCGGCCAAGCATTTATCCTCGTTCTTAGCTAAAAAAGAAAGAAAGAAAAAAAAAAAAAAAAAAAAAAAAGAAAGATACTTTATATCCTATTGCGTAAATTGTACATTACACTTATACTTGTACCATTATTGACACATTGTTGTATAACTTTTAGTATATCTTCCTTTTGATTGTCCTCCATTTCGTTTAAATATATATCGAATTTCTGCATGTCGAAGATGTTACCGTTCATCTGAAATCAAATGTTGGTCGATCGAAATTTTTACGAAATTTCACAGATGAAAGTCATCGTTTCGTTATATTCGTTATATTCTATAAAATGGGATTACGTTGGGGATAATTCTTTCACTACGTACCAGAGCCATCTTATGGAAAAGACAGGCTTCGATGCACCCTCGCTTTCTTATCGTTCTCTCACTTTTATCCTCGAGTAAAGAATTAATATCATCTAAAAAATTAATTTTTGCCAAATGATCTTTCATTCTCGTTTATCGCGCGATCGTTGTTTCTTTGAACATATTATCGATCGATCATTTTGAATCGTTCCGATTCTTTCTCAATTTTAGTTTAAAATCGGATTGAAACGGGAAGCATAGTCGATTTGTTGGAATTTTCACTTACCAAAAGTGAGATTCTCTTGTTCCAAACACAGTGTTAGATCGTCGACATGGTCACAACCAACCATCTGTTTTGTGAAATTATTAAAAAAAGTAAATTTTTTTTTCATAAATTTAGCAAAGATCACATTTTCTCGTCTAGATGAATAAGAATATAGCAATTGTTTCGTTTCTCGAAAAAAAAAAAAAAAAAAAAAAAAAANAAAAAAAAAAAAAAAAAATGCACTTTCACTGCGAGCACAAAAGATTCAAAATGCAATATTCAATTTAACGAATGGTAATAAAAAGAAGATAAAGATTTACCACATAAGAAACGATGCATAGTGTAAAAAGTAGGATGACGATGGTCTTCATTTTTTTCGATCTTTAGGACACTGTTGCCCCAAGAAACTTGAAAATGCGAACAATTTCCTCGACTAGTTGGATGATATTTCCAACTGCTATTTATACTCAATAAATGCATACTATGTAAACTAAATAAGCTTATTAATCATTCATAGATAACGAATTTGTGTAATTCAATTTCTCACAACAACAGACGTTTATATTCGTAAATAAAATATGATTAAATGATGTTTTTTGATGGATTGACCGTGTATTTACGCGCAACGTGTGACATCAAAATCGAGATACTGTTAAAATAATTCGAAATATAATAGTTTTTGAGTTTTATCGATTTGATCGATGACCAAACAATGTAATAAATGTATATAAATTAAAGGGGATAATCAAGGTTATCTGCTGTTCAGTTTATCGGTTTTTTAATTATATCTTTGTATTTTTCTTTCCTTAAACGATATGATTATTTGTCTCAATTATCTTCGTGGCTTTACAATATTTATAATATTGTTTGTAACATTCGATTTGATTCAGCTTCATCGAACGATATAGAAAGGATTTGAGAACAAATATGAAATCGAAACTATTAATAATTAATAGTTTTTTCCGAGAAAAAAGAAACTTTTCGAATTCAATTGATGATCGATTTTGAAAAAAATCTCTTCGCGATGTTGATATATTCGTGATAAGAAAATAGAAATTGGAATATAAAACACAATGCATTCATATGCAAATTCATTTCAAATAATATTCGAGTAAATTAAGTTTCAGCATTGTCGACTCGATTTTGTTTGTTAATATACATATATAAGAATCGAAAGATTATCTAGAAAATCTTGAACAGAGAAAACATTTTTTATCATAAATTTGATTATGATTTATTTATCGCAAAATATCGTCATTCGAAACTTCAATCAAAGCGCATATTTTATCAAAAAAATAAAAAATAACTTTGTCGTGTCTTATTTCCTTATTGTATTTTTCTCAATCTCATAAGTAGGTGTGTACTCGTACTTACAGACAATTAACGTGAATAATATCCATAATACTTCGTGGCTTCTAATTTTTAACGTGAATCGAAATTCGAGAAATCAATCGATTCGACTTTTTCAATCGATCGAATCGATTTACTCGCGTCAGTCGTTGGCTTCGAACTTATATTGAGTGGAATCATAATCTAGAGGTTAAAGATCGCATAATTCGTTGATTTTTGTGTAACAAGAAATCAGAATTAACGATAAATAGCAATTAGAAAAGTGGTTAAAAGTCGTTAGAATATTTATTAATATTCACTCTTTTCTCGAAATCATCGAGGAAATTTATTTACGTATCGACGGAATTCTATAAATAAAATTCGATTTACGTTAATTTGGGATGAAAAATGTAGAAAGGAAAGAAGATGATTGAAAATCCAATTTTTCTTCTCGATACTCGATGAAAATTATTTTTCTTCGAAGAGAATATTATTATTAAAAGAGAGAAGGGGGAAATTTCATATTCACGCTTCTTTTTTTTTTGAATTCCAATTTTATTCAAATTTATAATTTATATATACGTAGCTTTTGTGCTTTAAAATAACTTCAATTTGTGCTCTATATATCGCTTAAGAATTTTGAAAAACAAATTATAAAGTTTAATCCATTCTCGCATTTGTCCGTACCTTTGTTCGCTGAAATAATACCAATATAAATATTTTGAGCAAGCAGAAAATATCTCAATAGAAATAATTTAGTTGAAAAAATAGATAGGTGAACGAGAAGCAAAACATTAAATCATATCTCACTCGTGTTGTTATTTTTCGAAAAGATATATAAGTGAAAAATATTATCGTACAATATTATTTATAAGTGATCGAGATAAATTTCTCTAATAACGTTAATATTTATTTTTCTTTTATTATTAATGTTTTTTATTATTATATAATAATTATATTATAATTATAATTATATTATATATAATGTTATTTATTATTAATGTTACTTTATTTTTGATTATGATAATCAAAACGAATACGATCAAATTTCTCATATATGATAATTTTCGAAAAAGAGAAATTCTTTTCGATTTTTTTTTCGAATTATTAAAAATATTTTATTTATTTCTCTTTCAAGACATTCGATCGTAACTATAATTGGAAAACAGCTGTTTTCCTCGATACAAGAAAAATTTCCATTTGCTCGAAAAACTCACCTTCGTCGATGCATTCGCTTAATAATCTCTCGTCTATGGATATATTTTTTCTACTCGCCATTTCTACCAACTTGTTCAACTGAATTTCATCATTTTGTATCTGAAAAAAAAAAAAAAATGACGAAACGAATTTGAATAAATAATCACGACAACGGAAAAGAAAATAAACGATACTATTACGCTTACGATACGAGATTTTTCCAAAGTGCACGTAATGAAACAACTGTAATTCGTCAAGTATTTTTTTATATTTTCCTCCGATATATCTTCCTCTTGCAAAAGTTCCTGTATCTTTATGAAATCCTCTGATTGATAAAAAAAATTAGAATAATTAGAAATAACATATTTTTATACATACGAATAACTTAGTTTTAATTTAATTTAAATTAAATTTTCTCTTTCTTTTTTTTTTCAAGTAAAATTTAAATAATTATAACTTGATATATGACATATATCGTTATAAAGAAATAATATTAATTATATTACTAATGTTGAAGCCCATGTGTATTATGCAGTAATGTATATCTTTCATAGAAATGGCCATAATTTTCAAGATTTCGTTTATTCTATTTGCTCGAATGATTACCTGAAATAGATAACAATTACTCAAAGTTATTATTTAGTTTCGAGAAACAAAATATTTTTTTTTCTCTCTCTCTCTCTCTCTCTTTTCGATCGATTTACCGGTATTTGATTATTTATATGTAATAAATATGATCGTTAACGCGTACAATTGTTTAAAACAATTTTATTTCTAAATTAATTTCTAAATTTTTTTCGAACCGAGTTTACGAATTTTTCGAGGCTATATTCGAATAAAATACGCAATACGCAATAAATGATTTTTATTTTTAAGAGACTTTACGAGAAATGCTTACGGCAACAGAAAGAATATAAACAAAAATCACAAGAAATTTCTTCATCTCTCCAATCGATTATCCAATTATAATACACTGTCGACTATTAAAAATCACTATTGAAGAAATGGCGGAGAGACTCGAACCTGCTTCTTTGAGAAAATATGAAAACTGCATTAAGCTATTGCGAGACATTGATGCTTATATTTCTTGTTGACCATGAAAAAATTTTTATTTGATAAACAGGTGTCGGGTTTTTTTAAACCAAAATTTACTCGCACATATATGGAAATTAAATTAGTCAGCAAAAATGGAGTGATAGCGTATCGGGCAACGAAGAACATCAAGGATAATATTAAACAATCGTGCAATTTTATTTAAATTATTTTATCAGGATGCAGATAAGAAAAAGATAATTTTCCTTAATTTGCTTATTATATCTAGATATTATTATCTACAAAGAAAAAAGAAAAAAAATGAGAAAAAAATAGACAATTAACACATATAGAAGAGCATAATTTTGATAATTACGTTTCGACGAAATATCCTGTAATTTTTAAAACAAAACTCTTGAAAAAATAAGATCATTTTTATTTTTTCTTAATTTATTTTAAATTTGATTCAAGAAAAGCGAAACTTTATGCACACGTATATATTGTGCGAGCAATAATAATATCATCATAGATCTTCCAATTTGAGACATTAATTATTAATAATTATCGTTGAATATTATTCTTTATTACTTTTTACATAAGAGATATATGGATATCTAAAGAAATATTATATCCAAGAAAAAGCCAAGATTTTTCTTTTTAAATAAGATAATTTATCAAGAGATGATATAAAATATTCTCGAAAAAATAGATATTGAGTTATTTTCCTCTTCTCGCGACTCGAAAAATTTTGTTAAAATTATCTACAATCAATACGAAGCAAATAAGTATGGTAAAAATAAATATGGAAAAAAGTTTCTCTTACGAAAGGTGTGCAATTTCATTAATAAGAATGAGATTAAACGGATAGGATGCGGCGCGGCGATTCGAGGCATCGCGGCAGCTAAGCGCGGTCGGCTTATGAATAAACAATGCGCCGTTAACGCGTTATGAATAATTAACCTGCACTCGAGACACGGACATCGCGCTCCGTGCATTTCAACGGGGTATCCCGTTGTCCATGCTTTACGACCACCTAGTAGATACACATATACGCGAATTTATGATTCACTCTTGAAATCGATCGTACGTGGAAGTCGACCGTTTTCTTTCTTTTATATGGAAAACGAACGGAACGACGAGTAAAAAAAAAAACTCTTGTCATCAACATGTACACGAGAAGCAAGCAAAGAAAAAAGATTGTATCGTGTAAAATGAAAAATATTAAAAAAAAAAAGAAAAGATAATATAAATTTAATATTACTCTCTTAATTCTCTCATCCATGATATTTTCTAGTTGTTCTCGAATCTTGAAAATTGATGTGCAAAGAAAAGAGAGAGTACGCGTTATCGTAAGCGATTCACGTCGCGAGGCGGTTCACCTAATACAGCCTAATGTCGAAGTTGGCTCGACGCACACGATGGAATAAATAAAGTTGTAGGCCCAATTTTTCGCGATCAAACATTTTTCAACGATTATTTGCGATTATTTCCAAACGAATTCCAAAGGATCGACTCGCCAAGTTTTTCTTCTCTAATGGTCGCCACTTGCCTTCTTCTCGCGATCGCCGATAGATCGGGTGTAAATCGAGAGATGTCGCCAACTGTCCGTGTTAAAGAAACGAATCGTTGGATATGATACGTGACTCGAAACTTGGTAGATACATCGAACGGTTCGATGAATATTGTCGAAGGTAGGGAAAGGAGGGAAAAGATGAGCCGTGTATCATTTACATCGTTTTATTAAACGTGTACAATACGTGATAAACTCGTAATCTTCGGTACGTGACTTTTTCGTATTTACGTGAACAGCTTTTCGATGTAGCAGTCGGTATATTTGTTACCGATATTGCATTCGTCCGTTTCCCCTTTGGCTGTACAACAAGAGACAAACGATATGGATAAAAATATATTAATTTATCAACTTTTTATTATTGTATCAAATAAAATATTAATTATAATTTTGAAATTAACGATAATGACTTTGACTATATATATATATAACAATTTTTCACAATTTTTTTAAATATAATTATTTTCATTTTTCATTTCGAAACGATTCGAAACGATCGAAACTATTCGATTTTTCAAAATTTTCTACGAAATGTAGAAATAAGAGAATTTCGAGGAAAATTGAATAGAATGAATAGAAGCGTAATCGAATCAAATAGCAAGTATTTACCATTCTCGATACACTCATTCGCGATCCCTCTTACTAATTGGATATCATCCGCGTTGCCAGCGTGAACGACGTCTATCATCTTGTACACTGGTTCTACATTAAGTTCCGTGCCTTTCAACTAGGTGGAGAAAGTTGAGAAAAAATGTTTAAAGCGAGTTGTCCAACCGAGTTAATCGAATATTTAACTTGACGATATTAACTCTCACCATGCCTATTCGTTTCATCACGCAGGCTTTCAAGCAACCAAGTTGCTTCATATCAGCTCCATTTTTCGCCGCTTGTATATTCGTTACGATATCTGAAACGTAACGATTCGGTCGGCAAACAAACTATAAACTTCATCGATATTTCACTAGTAACTAGCTATATGAAATACTAGATATGAAATGAAATCTTAATAATTTTCAAATACGTGTCGATGATCCTAATTCTTTTGTACGAAAAAAAAAAAAAAAAATCGATCACCTTCGTTCGAAACGTGAAGTTCGTCGGCGCATGGCATTATATCAGGCATCAAATACTCCATGTACTTTGCGACTATGGTGTCTTGATCTATGCCACGTACAGCAGTCTGCAAATATAAATTGATTTATCGATTGATTTCTTCTCTCCTCCACCATGATCGATCGGTTACTTTAGGAAATACTTTAGGAATTTGCGAATGTACGAACGAAATTAGAGGGGAAAAGGCGAAAGTTTTCCGATGCTTACCACAGCGGCTAGCAGACAAGTAACGGTGACGAGAGTGTTCATCTTTATAGCAACTTAATCCTCGAAATCGAGATCGATCGGTTTTCTATAGTTTCCAAAATGGTACTGTTGCGCTGTACACCGAACTATGGATATTTATATCCGAAGGAAGCAGGATACGCTAGTTGCCACTGGGACAATAGCGGGGTGTTAAGGTCTAACATTTTAACAGCAGGAAACGAGATAATTAGATTTATCTACGCTACTGATTTACGTAAGATCGGTTCAAATACGGGCGAAACGCGTATGTAATTATTGCCGGTACGCGTTGAATTTGTCACGAGATAATGATTGTTTGTCGCGCGTTTTGGCGATCGTGGAAGAAGGATTCGTTCAAATTATGGGATCGAAAACGAGTCATCATCTACAATGATTGCGTCCTCGTGCACGCTGTAATCTCGAACGAGGGACTAAAAATTAAAAGTGACAATGTAATCGGGCGTTGCCGATTTCTTTGTTTGTTCATGTTCTCTTGTAGATACGTGTTCTTGGAATCTTTGATCGGCGAGTAACCAACAATTAACGAGACTTCCTCGCGATGTTATTTAATTGTTTGTGAAGAGAGATGAAAATATTTCGAGTTTGTTCTTTGTAATATTTTGATCTTTTCGTCGAGGCTAAGGTTTTATTTTGTCTAAGGTTTTTTCGGATGGAGATACATCGATTAATAAAATAAAATCGTACGGGACAATTTTTATAATTTATTCTATAATTTTTGTGTGCGTTTTGATTTCTTTGTTTATAAAAAAAAAAAAAATCTCTTATTAATTCTCTTATCGTATTTTATTTACATATATTGCGATTTATTTTATTTTGTTTGTATATTTATTTATTAACGGGAGGAAAAGAAACTTTAGCTTTATTAAAATTTTAAATGAGATTTTTTTACGATGTTTTTGAGACTGTTGTTTATTGCTAGGAAACAATATAAAAGTAATTTATTTGCTATTCTTAATTAGTATTAAAAAATGAATAAAATTGAAGGAAAAGTATTTCTTGAAGAGCAAGTTCTATGTAGGTAAATAATTTTTAACGTCACAATTAATCGCAGTGGCAAATATCAAAAATAAAAAAGAAAAAAATAGAGATTTTCGGATTTTCGGATGATCGATCGATTAAATTAATATATTCATTTGTTCGAATGAGACCGTATGGTTATAAGCATCGAGGCTTGATAATGCAATATCGTAAAATTGAAAAATCAAAATGATGTTTCATTTCATGTTTGATATCTTACTCCGTCTAAATAGAGGAAATTCAATTACATGCATATCTAAAAATCGATTTAATATTTAATATTATCTAATCCAATATATTCCATAACGTAAATTATCAAATTGTAAATACGCAAATTGTAGAAAAGATTTTTCTTTATGTATGATTCTCGACGAATAGTATAATTAAACATAATTGTTCGAATAAAAATTCTATTTTGTGAAATTTTTTGTTTCTAGATTTTGAAGATTGTAAAGGAAAAATGCAAGAGATTTGTAATAATTTCATTGAAAAATTTACAAAAAAATTAAGATACATTCAGGAATAATAAATTGAATCTATCATCTATTAAAAAATATTTATAATAATATGAACTTCTTCAAAATTCTTCAATATTGTTACATAATTACAGACAAATATAGGTTAGGTGATAATTATAGAAGGTTACAGAGGTGGGAAATATTAAAGGAAGAAAAAACAACAATATTTATTTGTATAATAAAATAATTTATCAAATTATAAAATTTAGGAACACAGTAATATTTAAAGGCTAGTCTTTCAATGTAAAAGACAGCCATTCGTAGATCTGTGATAAAATTATTTGCGCATGGAAATTTGAAAAAAAAAAATTTTTTTTCGAAAAATTATCGATCGAGGACCGATTATAGAATAAAACATGGTCGATGATATTTCTTAGACTCTTCTACATTGCGGTTTGGTCCTGGTATTTCTGCACACTGCTTTTCCACGGTTATGAACGTGATGGCCAAGATAACGACGATGTGCAGGTGTGTAGAAATTTCTCTTGCTTCCTCGATAATATCGCGAGTTCTCTATTGAAAGATCGTTCATGGCACTAAATAGAGCTGCAACAAATATTACAGATACTTGAAATTACATTAATGTTCGATCGTGATTAGATAAATACTAATTACTTGGAAATTTTGTACAAAGATATTTCGAAACAATTTCGAAACCAAAACAAAATAATAAAAATAATAAAAAATTTAAATACGATAAATCGGTCTAAGCAAGTAAAATAAATATTACGAAATTACTGCACCCAAAGTATTATTTTCGGCGTAATCGTATTTAAAAATCACCTCCTTGTCATTTTCATAGATGCACTTGCCAAATTGCCACGCAACCTCGCATCCCTCCGTAGCTGTCACTAAAAATCAATAAAAATTATCAATCAACAATGAGCAAGAATAATTAACTTTTATACTATCGATTGGCACGATGAACAAACACTTGCCTTCCTTCTTGCACGTTTCGACTACGCTCTCAACGCGTGGAATGTATTCCTCGAATAATATCATACGGGCATTCTTCACGAAAAAATCCCACAGAATAACGTCGTTCTTCATCTAGGAACAAACTTTTCTCGTTCTCATTAATCCTTTCGAGAAAGACGGAGAAAAAGATTTATTTGAAAAGATTCGTTTACCGCTTTAGTCGTTATCAAGATGCACTTCATGTAGCACATCAGCCTCTCGTCCTGCGGGAATTCGCCTCTGAATTGGCCGTCTAAAAGCTCTGTAGCGAAAAACCGTCAAACGTGAATCAAATTTTCGAGAAAAAAAAATTCGTCGGATCGTTGAATAAAGTGAATTCTATCGCGCATTCGATTTCGATCAAATTTCCAATTATCGAGAGTCGCCGTCGCGAACGTCACGAACCCACGAATCATAAATTTGCAACATTTTTCTCTACCAACTGCTCGAAGAAATTTCATAGAAGCGAGTGCGAAACACTGGATAATCGCAACGATTGAACGTCGCATCTATCCAAAGGAACAGTTCGTATTTCTAGTTCCTTCGAAACATCCATCGAGAAAAGTATAATACCTTTGGAGGTATCGTTCTTCTTGCTGCAAACTTTCCTCAGGTTCTTGATAGTTTTCTTCGCTTCCTCGATGCTCATCTTTTTCTGTATATGCAAGAAAAAAAAAAAAAAGAAAAGCCAAAAGTGCACGATGCGCGTACGCTCGAAGGCCAATTACACGAAGAATCGATCGATCAACTTACGCTCACGGTATCCTCGATCGCTAATAGGACGAGCACCAACGCAACCAGCAAGGAGACGCCGAGCCTCTTCATTCCGTTTCTTTCTTTTAAACGTATCTAACTTGGCAATGCCGCGGACAAAATGGAGTAGCGTTTGTCCCCCATGGATAGAACGTGGCACGATTGCGCGTACCCTGTTTTATAATCCGTATCGTGGCGGTAGGAGAAGAAAGAATTATTCGTATTTTGTGGGTGTTGCTCGAGTCTCGAGGCAAGCATTATAGTTTGGTTAATAATTAACGTGTTACCTCCACTTTCCGTGCACGATCTTGAGATCAAAGCTATGCCGGAAAGGGAGGAGTAAGATTACCACGTGATTCGAATTACGTCGTCGATAAAATAATTATAAAGTATTACGTACACAAAATATTCATCGACTCGTTTTAACATCGAATCCTTGTATCTCGAGAACCATTGCCATATTTGGTAAGCGATTTTTCGATACGATATTCGTTTTTGTTCTGGCAACACGAATCTCTAGATCCCTATCTTTGTATCCTTTCCTTCTTCCCTTTTTATCTTTTGCTCTTTTCGTTTTTCGAAATTTCGCGAATCAACTAAATATACGATCGATGACAAATTTTCGAAAATCCGCATATCAGTTTTACTTCTACGAATATCTCGTTTATGTAAATATATATCGTATATTGAATAAATTGTAAATTAAATTAAACACGATTGGAAGTTAGTTGAAGGAGATTAAATTTGATTAAAATTTCCATTTTATCGCGAAGGATATAAAATCGAGCGTGTCCATGAATAGCGGAGAAAGTTCGCGTTATGATATCGTTAAAAAAGGAGCACGCAGATGTTGAGATGTGGGTGAAGGAAGGCTGGTATTGCGCGATCGGATTCCATCATCGTCGTCGGTTCTTGCTTCGATTCGATGTCATCATCTCACGAAATTTTTCTCGTTCACACACGTGTACTGTATTTTCAGTCGGCGTTGATACATCCTTTGGTACGTACATTTTATCTCATCAATTACGACCACTCTCCGCAACCTGCCAGATCGTAGATGATACTCTTCCTCGTAAACATCGATCGTTTAAGAGATAAGAAAGAACGTAACGTGAGAACACTCGATTCGATTCGATTCGATTCGATTCGATTCGAACGATAAAGGGAAACGACTCGATGTCTGGATCTTTATAGGCGACCGATCGACGATCGCGTGCGACTAAACTAGCTTTTTCCGTAATCGTGTGTGTGTGTAAAGGAAGAATGGAGGACAGAAGAATGCGGAAAGCGAGAAGTGAATAAAAAGGAAGGAACGCGAAGTGGAAACAGTGGCAACAATGTTACGAATTACGGAAAGGGAAAGACCTGTTGGAGAATCGCGCGGAGCGAGGCATGAGAATAACGTGACCTCTGCGACGCCACCCTAATTAAATGGCTTTAATTACCGGTAATAACTGTGTTTCGAGGCGGATTATGTAACACGAACATGAGTATCGTCGATAAGAAACTCTTTATCCAGAATCGTAACAACGAATTTGGCTCTTCTCTCAAATTATTTGCTTAAAGTAAATCAAAAAAAAAAAAAAAAGAAAAGAAAAGAGAGAGAGAGAGAGAGAGAGGAAAGATCGAATTGCATGTAATTAAAAATATTCCAGAATTTTTTTCTATCCGAATAAGAGAACTATCGACAAGAATCTTATTCTCTCATCATTCAAGTTAAGAAAAATATCGCTTCCTTCACTCGAATAAAATCTCGAAACGTTATATATTGGGCGACAATGCGTCACATTGTTGCAATAACATCAGCACCAAAAAAAAAAAAAAAAAAAAAAAAACACGCGATAAATGAAGCGTTTTCGAAACGCAGAATCACGAATCGATAGCCTCGTGACATCGCATAATAAATTAATCGCGTACTCCGTCGCGATCAAAGACTGCCCTTTGTAATGCTAATTACTTTTCGATTAAATTCTCTCGAACTTTTCAAACTTGGCTCAATTAATTTTCGATGCGTTGATTCGATTTTGGAAAAAGAAAATTTCGAACAAATTGCCCGAAAAAATCCATTTGCCTTTTGCAATAAGGCTTCTCGAAATTTCTTGTTCGCCTCTCTTATTCGCGGTTGGAATATTTGACGATCCGGCAACCGAAATAGGAAACAAAAATGCTCGTATTCGTTTCTATATAACTTTAAATAATTCCCCTTCTTTCATTCTTCTTTCGTTCTACGACTATTTTAACACAAATATACGAACGATGCATAATTTTATTCGTATCGTTATTTAATATAGTTGAATCGTTTATTCTTTCATCGAATCGCAAAGAATCGTACTACTTTCGATCGATCGATCGTTAACCGAGATGATAGTTCACGAGAAGTTTTCGAACACGGCTTGGACGCCATGTTTGCATCAGGGGGCGAAAAAGGTCGGGCTTCGAGATATCGCTCCTCTTCCGGCACACGATGTGACTCACAAACTTGTTTCCCCTCTATCACGAGCCGAACATTTTATCTACCGATCCTTGTTACGGCATTAGTAGACCAAAAGAATGACTCGCGTTACCGGTTCCAGTTATTATCCTCCGATTTATCGTTTCGATCCTTCGACGTAACGAAGAGATTTGCAGATTTTTATTAATAAGGAATTTTTTTTCAGGATTTTTTGAGGATTTTTTGTGCGTAGGGAAAGAATAATTTTTATCTTGTAAAAAAATAAATAGGTAAATAGGAAAATAATTCGTAGCGATGTTACATCACTTGAAATTTTTCAAGTGGTCGTCGTGTAAATCGTAAAGTTCAGCAGTTTGGTAGACCGCTAAAAAACGATGATTTAGAGCTGTTGAAACGAAATTTTCAGTATCAGCGTTTTCTCGGCTCGCTAACGGCGATTTAGGATCCTTGATTTTCGAAGGATCAGCGATTCCTTTAAGTATATAAAGTATATCGTGCAATAATTGATCTAACAATATCGTTTATCATTTCTCCTAACTTTCTCTTAAATTTTCTTCTCGAATAATATAGTAACTCGTCTTACCTTTAACAATTTCTTTCTCCTTGCCTCGAAAAACCTTTATTAAAAATCCTTCGAATTAAAAAAAAAATAAAATTCACGTTTTCGTTCTTGATAGATTTTCTTTTTTTAGAAGGAGCTAATCTGGAAATGAAAATGGCTTCGTATCGTCGCCTATTATTTTCTCGTGAGCTGACACACACGCGGAACAGACCTAATCGTATCCGTTTCCTGTGAGTTTCGAGCGAGCCACGTCCATTTGACGATAAACAAACAGAAATCGTTGCTCTCGAAATAATCTTTGCCGCGGAGGCGCGATTCCCTCTCCTCCTCCACCACCAATTTTTTTTCCACCACCGATCCGTATATTTTCCTATTAAACAAACTGCACTTGGAATTTCTTTCCAAGCCCGATCACTCGGAAACTTTCACGCTTTACAAATTATACGCGTTTAACAAATTATGTAACGCCTCGTTTCGTACGAAACGAGTTCAAACGCGTGGAAAATACGGGTGAAAATACGGGTATACGTAATAATACGTAAATTCGTAAATATTCGAAATTATTTTCATATCGGCAACGAACGAACGTGTAATATCTCTAATTTTATTTATAATTTTATTTATTTATTGCTCTTTTTTTTTTTTTTTTTTTGAAAATCACGCGAAAGAGAGGATATGGATACAAGTTTTAAAAAAGATATATATCGGGTGTAAAATTTTCGTTTCGAGAAATGTTGATGGATATTTTTTGGGATTAGCATAATAAATAATAATTGCTTTTACGTTGTTTCGAGCGAAAGTTTACGCAAGTCGAACGGAATTCTTTTCCCAATCGATCACTGGAAAAATCCGAGTGCCGATTTATACAATTATTTTCGATAGAGGGAGTTTGATCGGTTTATCTCCGGTCCGCGGAATCACGCTTAATTCAAATAAAGGGGATAAAAGAGAACAAAGATGGCTCGTAATGAAGCTCGACACTCGCCAATTAGCGAGGATCGTTTTTTAATTTAATTACTTTCGAATACGTAACCGTATTACGCGATCATCGACCGGCTTTTATACCTTTCCTCGATCGGACCGGGTCTCGATCGAGTTTCGCATTTTATTTATCCTCTGCTGTAGAGCTCGGACTAGATTACCTTCCTTTTCGAATATTAAAAATTTAGAGAGAGACGCGAAAAAATTTATCGATTTAAATTTATTGAAATTTATCGAATTATCGGAGATGCTAATCGAAAAAAGTAATTTCATCGTGGTTCCATTACGCAATAGGTATTAGCCGTGAAGATATTATTTCATCGGTGGAATTTACGTAACGATAAAATGGCATTGCGTAATAAAACATTCGGACCGATGTATAATTAGCCGTAGACAATGGCGGAATTAATGATAGTAGCGTTGCCTCGTTTTATTAATTAACCAGCAACGATCCTTTTCCACCGATGCGCGATTAAAAACGTTGATAACGTTATAAGAATATCTTTCGAGAATTTTATTTTTTCAAAGATACATCACAGAAAACAGGGAGCAATATCCGTGATATCGAAAAAATACAATTCCTTAATGCTACTTTTTCTCCCTCTCGTAACGAGAATCTCGAGAGAATTTTATTCTTCTCCTCTTCTTATTCTCCACTCGCTCGAGCGAGCGGCTCGAGCCACGGCAAACCTCGTTTATTAATAAACATCCGAAGCTCGATTTGCTCCTTTTTTTAATGAGCACGTTACCACCGTGTCCGTGAGAGTGTACGAAACGTACACTCGGTATATTTTAACTGCATGATTCAGCGGCCAGCGAAACGCGAGCCCTCTCCCTATCTCTCTTTCGACCACTATCTTTCTCCTGTATTTTTCATGCTCCACGCAGCCTGCCCGCTCCAACAATCTCGCGGCAAGGTGACGCGAGAAAACTTGCCTCCTCCTCGAAATTTTGCACCGGCGCTTCCTCTTTCGGCTACGCTCCATTTTTAGAAGAAGTGCTCGCTCCTATATATTTTTTCCTAACGAAAATTCTCCCTTATATATCTTATACTTGTATCTCTCTATAATTTTATTGTATCTAATAAATAAAGCGTGTACTGAGAGAGGGGGACGAAATTATTTCGCTTCGTGTCCTTATCATTATCGTTATCACCGCCATCGTTATTTCCATTCCCACGTATTCTACGTACATTCTCGTTTAGGAGAATTTGCGGGAGTTAAGAATCACGAAATAACAAATTATTATCATTCGAGTAGGCACACGAGAAAGCGTAGAGACTTTAAGGGCAGCGTTGTCAGCGCCGCTGCCTGCACTGCAGGCAAATACTTTGGTGGTGGTGGTGGTGAAGAGGAGGTTGATGGCGATGATGATGTGCATGTGAATACCGCGGCCAGTGGTGCCGGGCTCTTTCTCCGTGGTCGTCGTCTTCTTCCGCAGCATCTCGTTCAATTTCTCCGGATCGAGAGACGATTCGCGCCATTTTTTTTCTTTTCT